GAGTGCCTTAAGTAGGCTAGGGGTAGCAAACCAGCACCTCCCACAAATTCAGGCAAATTGCCTTAATACACACACACAAGAGATACTCGAAAAATTAGAATATCGTGCAAAAGTTAATTTATTTGAGTAATGCAATGTAAAATGGGAAACTAATATATGAGATAGACGCATTACATGCAAAGCAAGATAGTTCAAGTCATGATTTGTCATAAGTGCGATGATTATGGCTTACAGCTCATGAAAACCCCAAATCCACAATCTCAGTAAATTAGAATATTGTGAAAAGGTGCAATATTCTAGGCTCACAGTGTCCCACTCTGATCAGCTAAGTAAGCCATAACACCTGCAAAGGGTTTGAGCCTTTAAATGGTCTCTCAGTCTGGTTCAGTAGGAATCACAATTATGGGGAAGACTGCTGACCTGACAGTTGTGCAGAAAACCATCATTGACACCCTCCATAAGGAGGGAAAGCCTCAAAAGGTAATTGCAAAGGAAGTTGGATGTTCCCAAAGTACTGTATCAAAGCACATTAATAGAAAGTTATGTGGAAGGGAAAAGTGTGGAAGAAAAAGGTGCACAAGCAGCAGGGATGACCGCAGCCTGGAGAGGATTGTCAGGAAAAGGCCATTCAAATGTACTGGGGACTTTCACAAGGAGTGGACTGAGGCTGGAGTCAGTGCATCAAGAGCCACCACACACAGACGGTTCATGGGCTTCAGATGTCGTATTCCTCTTGTCAAGCCGCGCCTGAAAAACAAACAACATCAGAAGCGTCTTACCTGGGCTAAAGAAAAACAGACCTGGTCTGTTGCTCAGTGGTCCAAAGTCCTCTTTTCTGATGAGAGCAACTTTTGCATCTCATTTGGAAACCAAGGACTCTGGAGGAAGAATGGATACGCACACACTGCAAGATGCTTGAAGTCCAGTGTGAAGTTTCCACAGTCTGTGTTGATTTGGGGAGCCATGTCATCTGCTGGTGTTTGTCCACTGTGCTTCATTAAGTCCAGGTCAATGCAGCCGTCTACCAGGAGATTTTGGAGCACTTCATGCTTTCTTCCGCAGACGAGCTCTATGGGGATGCTGACTTAATTTTCCAGCTCACACTGCCAAAAGCACCAAAGCCTGGTTCTGTGCTTAATTGGCCAGCAAACTCGCCAACCTGAACACCATAGCGAATCTATGGGGCATTGCCACGAGAAAGATAAGAGACATGAGACCGAACAATGCATAAGAGCTGAAGGCCACTATTGAAGCATCCTGGTCTTCCATAACACCTCAGCAGTGCCACAGGCTGATAGCTTCCATGCCACGCCACATTGAGGCAGTAATTGCTGCAAAAGGGGCCCAAACCAAGTACCAAGTCCATATGCATGCTTATACTTTTCAGAGATCCGATATTGTTCTAGTACACTCCTTGTTTCACTGATTACATGTAATATTTTAATTTACTGCGATTGTGGATTTGGGGTTTTCATGAGCTGTAATCCATAATCATCGCACTTATGCCTATCTTGCTTTGCATGTAATGCGTCTATCTCATATATTAGTTTCCCCTTTTACATTGCATTATGGAAATAAATGAACTTTTGCATGATATTCTAATTTTTCGAGTATCACCTGTGTATGTATGTATGTATGTATATATATATATATATATATATATATATTTATATATATATATATATAGAGAGAGAGAGAGAGAGAGAGACACACACATACAGTTGTAATCAAAATTATTCAACCCCCATTGAAAATCAGGTTTATTGTCAAAATGTTTCAGTAGATTGCAATGAACAAATCAAACAGAAGCAATTAAATAGTTCTACACAATGAATGCTTCAAGTAGTTTCCCCAAATTCAACTGAAAATGCAATGTATAATGACTTCTCCAGTCTCAATAAATATAATATATATAAATCCCAAAAAGAGCACTCATACCATATTTGGGATTAACCCCTTAACCCCTTAAGACCGGAGGGCGTACTATTACGCCCTATTTACGGCGGCTCTAAACACCCCCGGGCGTAATAGTACTCCCTCCGGTCTTTCTATACTTACCCGGTCGCCGGTGATCCCACGCCGGCGATCCCACGCCGGCGATCGCGGTTGGCGGGACTCCCAGTGAGCCCCCCGCGTCTCGTCCGACCCCCTGGCAGCCCCCCCGGCCACGTGAGAGTGAGGTCCTTGCAAGGACCTCACAATCACATGGCCGGGATAGCTGCCTGCTGTATTGCCAGCAGGGGGGCTGCCTGTAATGACAGGTGGTCCCCCTGCTGGCTGAAAATAAAATAAAAAAAGTTAAATAAGTGTAAAAAAAAAAAATATATATATACTTAGATCATATATATATATATATATATATATATATATAATCTAAGTATATTTATATACACATATACATACACACATACACTGTCTAGGTGTATTTTACTATTTATTTATATATATATATATATATATATATATATATATATTAATATCAAATTACACCTAGACTGATACTGATTAAATATATATATAATTATTGTTATATATATATAAATATTTATATATAATATAAAAAAATTAAATATGTAAATACGTTAAAAAATTAAATTAAAAAAATAATTAAAAAAAATAATTAAAAAATATATAGATGTGTGTTATTCCGTTCTAACTGTATTGTGATATTAATATATATATATTTATATCAAAATACATGTAGAACGAAATAATATATATGTCTATATACAAAAATATATACGTATATATCACTATATATATACCTATATATAAATAAAAAATATTAAAAAAAATTATATATATATACATATATATTCACATACGTATATATATATATGTATATATATATATATCTATATATATATATATATATATACATATATTAATTCTACATATATATTTATGTAATATTTTTACATAATTAGGTATCTTAATTAATTACATTTAGCGGGACCTGCCTGACAAACCATGCCGAGAGTAAAGGGAATTTAATTTGCTAGTACTATATTTAACCCTATAACTTTCCAAGACACCATAAAACCTGTACATGGGGGGTACTGTTCTACTCGGGAGACTTCGCTGAACACAAATAGTAATAGTAATAGTGTTTCAAAACAGTAAAATGTATTACAACGATGATATCGCCAGTAAAAGTGACGTTTTTTGCATTTTTCACGCACAAACAGCACTTACACGGACGATATTATTTCTGTGATGCTTTTTACTGTTTTGAAACACAAATATTTGTGTTCAGCGAAGTCTTCCGAGTACAACAGTACCCCTCATGTACAGGTTTTATGGTGTTTTCAAAAGTTACAGCGTCAAATATAAGTCTTGTGTTTCATTTTTTTCACATTAAAATTCACCAGATTGGTTACGTTGCCTTTGAGACCCTATGGTAGCCCAAGAATGAAAATTACCCGCATGATGGCATATCATTTGCAATAGTAGATAACCCAAGGTATTGCAAACGGGGTATGTCCAGTCTTTTTTAGTAGCCACTTAGTCACAAACACTGGTCAAAATTGGCATTTTTTTTATTTTTTTACACACAAATGAAGCAAATACCCCAGGCCAATAAAACCTCTGTAAGACTCTTTCTTTTGTATTTTCTATGCCAAAATGTCCCCCTAGTATATGGCTGTGTGCAAGGTTTAGGACTGTATGTCTGAAGGGCTTAGGCACAAGTAGTTGCTTTACAACATCCATCCCCTTTTTCTCCACTCTATAAATCAAATCATTCTGTACCTCAAAGTAAGGATATGAAGGAACTCTATCTAGTTGTACTGGATCATCATTAGAAACCTGGATATTTTTTATGGGCCTCTGCAAGATTGGGGTCTTCTCGTTGTGCTTTCCTGAAGTTAACAAGACTGACTTCTAATTCAGGCAAATTAATGCCTTAAACCTGATCATAATCGGACTCCTGACTATCGTGCCCCGAGTCATCTCCTACTAAAGCTGGCATGTGACGTGAGGCTTCAGCCTTCTCTGTTCTTATGCCTAGTCCTTCTCATTCTATGTCAGAAAAATGAAAAACATTTCCAGAATCATCATCCTCATTTGCTATACAATCATGAGCTACTTTTCCTGGAGACCCTCACAAGTCTAAAAATTGGGGGAAATCCCTTCCCAACACCACGTCATAAGCCAATTTATCAACTACCCCCGCTCTATGATTCACAGTACCAAAAAGGCTTTCAAATTTCAGCAAAACATGTTTGTCACCATGAACACAAATAATACCTATTTTCTGAAATGCATCAACATCAGCTTCAGATACAAGGCATTTTGTTATCAATGTAGCCATACTTCCGGAGTCTAATAGAGCTCTAACCTCTTTCCCATTCACCTTTATAGAACATATCTGCGGATTGTGACTACAGTTGGCAACAGCATATTCCATATGATTCAGCAGACAAGACAATTGTACATCCTGAGTAATCATATTGCATTGCATAGGTTCATCAATCAAGGGACAGTCTCTAGCTTTATGTCCAAGTTCATTACACCGGAAACATTTCATATTATAATCTGTCCCCCACCTAGACCCTTTTCCAGGATTAACATTTCTAGGCTTAAGCGTATGGGGTCTCTGAGAATATGTCTCTTGTTCCTGTGTCTCCAAAACCTTGAAAAATCTTACCAGGTAATAGCGACATTAGAAACGCTCCACAAAAGAACACAAATGGAAACCCACTACCGAAACCTTCTGACAGCTAGGCATCAACTGACGGAACTAATAGCCCACCAACACTACAGGGCAACCCAGAGATCAAAGGCCATACAGAACCAACAGGCCAGAGCACAAGTTCAAGAACTGCGAACATAGAAGGGTACCCTTACGCAATTCCCTGTGGTGATCGCGAGTGAATTCCGCTCATATTATGAACATCTGTACAACATAAAACCTGAAACACCAGATATGTGTGAGGACAGGGGTACAGGTAACACGGCAAGCTATCTCAGACTTCAAGCCGGATGCGCTCACGCCTCAGGAAGCAGACATCCTAGATGCCCCAATAACAGCGGACGAGGTACAGGCGGCGATTAAAACAACAAAGAACGGGAAGGCAACTGGTCCCGATGGACTTTCGGCAGGATACTATAAAAAGTTCCGAGAAATCCTAGCCCTGCGGCTAGCCGACGCCTTCAATCATCTGCGGCAAGGAGGCAGGTTTCATCGGGAAACCCTAGCGGCCACAATAACGGTATGCCCAAACCTGGTAAAAACCCAAAAAACTGCGCCAACTATCGCCCCATATCTCTATTGAACACGGATGCGAAACTCCTCTCTAAACTGTTGGCCTCCCGTTTACAACAATTCATACCATGGCTAGTCTACCCGGATCAAACTGGTTTTATACCGGGCCGGGAAGTTAGGGACTGTACCCTGCGGGCGTTCGCTATACAGGGCCTGGCAATTAAAGGGAACTCCGATCTACTTATGCTTTCCACGGACGTTGAGAAAGCGTTTGACCGAGTGACGTGGAGCTTCATGTTGGCAACGCTGAGCGTGATGGGCCTGGGGAATGGCATGCTCGCCTGGATTACAGCCTTTACACCGACCCATCTGCCAGAGTATGAATAAACGGAGTGCTCACCGATATCCTAGATATACACAATGGCACTAGACAGGGCTGACCATCCCCCCCCCCTCCTTTTCGCTCTCACGCTAGAACCGTTCCTAGACAGAATACGATGGACACCAGAGATACAGGGGTTCAGACAGAAGGACCAGGAACACAAAGTGGCCGCCTATGCGGACGGCATGCTTTTCTTCATAACAGATCCCCAGGGCTCACTAGTGGCCCTCCTGGATTGCGTCCCATCTGAAACTCTGGTCAGTCCCTTGGTCAAAGCCTGTATCTCCTTCTGTATCATGCTGGAGGCCTGATGTTGCGCCTCCCTGAGCAGGCTTACCCACATGTCAGGATAGTGGCTGCGTAAAAGTCTGGGTGCCAGATATACACTCCTGACCACCATTCCCAACACTCTGTCACAATACTTACTTTATTACTGTGTTTCCAAACAATGACCTTGATCCTAATTGTGATATATATATATATATATATATATATATATATATATAGAGAGAGAGAGAGAGAGAGAGAGAGAGTGAGAGAGAGAGAGATCCAAAGATATATTAAAAAAGGCTTTATAGTATTGCAAAAAAAAGTATTTTTTTTTTTCTATTTAGTATAGAGATAAAAAAAGTGCAAAAGTGTACACTTGTGAAACACATTTTCACAATTCTTCATCATCTACTGCAGTGGTTCCCAACCCAGTCCTCAAGTACCCCCTAACAGTCAAGGATTTAGGTGTTACCCAGTTGTGTCTAAGGTGTTTCTAGAAAAAGAAAACAAAAACACTTTAGACACAACAAGGTGATCCCTAAATCCTGGATTGGTAGGGGTACTTGAGGACTGGGTTGAGAACCCTTGATCTACTGAGAATGTATCTTCAATATGATTGCTTAGGATAATTTCAATTCAGCTGTGGAGAAAATTGACTCAAATCCTTTTCAATAAAAATGATAGTCAACTGGGAGGTAGGTACTACATGGATACAGAGCACACTGAATAATGTACACATTTTTAATGTATATGTAGGAAAAAACAGTTTTCAGGTTATGAGGATTAGACAGCTCCAGATTTGGTGCAAATTAGGGTGAAAATGTTTGGAACAGGGGTTTAGAGAACTACTGACATTTAGTGATATTTATTATTTTCATTCCCCTATCATCAGCCCCCCCATACCTCAAACATTACAAGCACCTTCTCTCTGTGTATACAATAGCTGTTAATATGGGGTCAATCACAGATGGCCCGTTTTTTAATTTTTTTATTTTTGTGTAGAGTATAGACTTGCCGCATAGAATTGTGGTTTCCCACTTTCAGTTTCATAATCAACACTTAAAGGGTTACTTTTTGTTTCTGAATTGGGATTAAATAAATGTGAGGTCAGTGGTAGTGAAGGATATAGAGCAGCTTCAAATAAATAGACTCAAGGCTGGAGGTAATTATACAATGATTTTGGTATTATTAAGGCTTTATTATTGTGAGAGGAGTAAATATGTGTCCCATTACAGAAAGCTTATGCCTGTTTGCAGGCAATGTCTGATGCTGGAATTAACAACAAATTTTACAGGGATTATTTCCTAGATTTTTCTGCTTCTTAAAAAAATATTTAGTAAAAGGTCAATATCCACTTTCTTGGTTGGATTGTATTTGCAGGGGCACTCTACGTACCCACATACATTAGGTACAATGCCTAGTTAAGTTAGAGTCACTTGGTTAAGCGTTTTGTTATCCTTTTTGTTTTAAAAAAAGAATAATAATAATAATTATTTTGCTAATAATTGCTTTTTGCAATGAGTTTTAATTCTCTTCGAACCTGTACTTTGTCCATAGAATTGTTTTTACATATCAACAGAGCAACACTCTACTCTAAATTTATATCCATGATTTGTGTTATGTGCAATTACTGAAACACGTTTTTTAATGCTTCTGCTACATTATTTACCTAGAAATTATAGACCCGTGAGCTCAACTTCTGTGGCTGGGAAAGAGTTTTGAAAGGTTATTAAGGAATTCAGGAATTCATTGGGAAGAACATTGTTATTAGAAAATATCATCATAGTTTTATGAAACATAGATCAGGTCAGAAAAGCTTAATTGCATTTTATAAAGAAGTAAGTAGAAGTATACAGTGGCTCCTCTAGACCAGCATTGGTCCGCTGCTCTTTTCTGCCAGCAACTTGACCCTATGGGTTTGCTACCTGCCAACTGCACAGGGTTCCTCACGTCGAGTGCCCGGGGATACCTTGGGTAACTACATGGCGGCTAAGTTATAGTCATGGGTAATGTGTATTTTACTTTATTTTGCATGGATTTGGGCTTTGACAAGTGTTTCTTTTCATTTTTCATAGCTGGTTATTCGACTGGCTCTTATACAAATATATTTCTCTTATGGTTTCCCTTTATTTTCTCCTTGATCATCTGCTGCAGGTGAGCAATAAGTCTGGTTTCCCCTGCTTGGGGTTCATATTTAGTGAACACTAATATGCTAGAGTCTTGGTCTAGATTGTAAATCCTTCATTTATTTATCTTTTTTTTTTGTTACTTTTTTGTTTGTTTATTCTTTCATGTTCATTGTTTAATTTTTTACTTGTATATAAATATTTTGTTAGTATATAATTTTTTTGCTTGTATATAGATTGAGGCAGGATCACCTGTCGAATTTACTCATACAGATATGTTAGAATACTTTATAACTGCCCCTGATATCATTTCTGCTTGGCACACATTGTAACAGTATTCTCTGCATCTCCAGGATAGGTGTCTATTAACAGGACCAATATGTTTACCACCTACTAATCTTGTATAAACAGATACTACAGATTAGTCTAAACTTTCATGTTTTTATTGTGGTGTGTCTGGAAGAGTATGAACAATAAAGTTTAGTTGAATGCATGGGACACAATGACGCACGCTGACGTCACCACGCTGAGGCGGAAGTAATGGCGGGGCGGACGCAGTTCGGCTGAGCCGCCAATTATGGATATATAAACTTAACTGTCTCCGCTTGTCAGATTGCAGGACCTTAGAAGGGACACGGTTGTCCCGAGCGCACAGCCCATGGACTGCCGGTTAAGCTGACCAAGCACACGCTCATTTGCCGCTGATGAATCGATTTGTGCATCAGGAGGATTGTTATAACATGGTCGTTTTAACAGAGGAAGATTTGCCTCTCCATTCTCTCATTAGAACCACGGAATACCCTCCTGCTTTTACAGTCCTGTACAAAACATTAGTATGTAATATGACTTTGTACCTTGTGTATGACAAATGAGTGTATGGAGGGATTGCCAGTGGTTGTAGATAGTATCTGTACATATGATGGAATTTTTCTATGTGTAGAACAAATGCATCTGGATAGGACCACTTATTGCCTGTATTATTTTCTTTTTTATACTAGGTTAAGGTAACAATAAATCAATTTTTGCTACAAACTTTTCAAATTGTTACTTGTCATACATATGACTTGAGTGTGGTATTCATGTTTAAATAATTGTAGATATTATGAAGTCTTATTGGGGTTAAACCCGAATACCTGCACCTAGCACGAGATAGTTTTGTTAGAACATCAGCTATGTGATCACCAGAGTTCTATCCTGATCGTAACATGCCACAAGCTCTAGAACACTCAATGATGTAGACCATACAGAGAACTCAGTTCAGAGAATTTCCCAAGTATATTAAACAGAACACGGTTTATAAAGCAACACACAATAAAGAGAAGTCTAGGCAGAGTTTCCTTAATTACCAGTCAAATATTGTCAACTATTAAGTAACAGTATGAACAAGCATATGCAAACATCATGATATAGGCATGTAACAAATCATTGATCAAAAAATGTATCTGGGGGCATGTGCAAGGTGGAGTCTCTATGAAAGGGGGTGTGAGCATAGGTAATTTAAAAAAACTAAGCTACGTGACATTTTTGCAAAATACGTTGTTAGCTTATGATTCATCTTAACAGAATTTAACCATTTCACTGTTGGTCTAGATTAAAATTCTTACACTTGGGTAAAACCTTGGCTTAAAGATGGTTATAGAGAGTTACCATTAATGGTAAAATTTTAAGCTGGCTATAGTGGTAAGTGGTGTCCCTCTGGAGTTTGTTCTGGGACCTCTTCTAAATATTTAACATTTTTATAAATGTTTTTGAAATAGTCATTGAAAAGCACGTTTCAGTGTTTGCAGATGACACAAAACTCTGTAAAGTAATACAATGTGAGCAGGATATTCAGGGCCCACCTTTGGGGTGTGTGAGCTGTGCAGTCAGAGAAGGGGCCATGACAACAAGTGGTGTCCTGGCAGCTGACACGGCTCGCAAACTGAGTCCATCATATTGCATGAAAAATTATTCCCTGGTGGTCCACCAGAGCAGTCAGATCATAATAACAGCTCCCTCACGGTTTCGTTGCTCAGTTAGTGAGCCAGAGTGCTGCCTCAGGGATTCCCAGCCTGCGCTCTCACTCAACATTAAACGCTGTGTAATGGATCCTCTATATTCCTACTGAGTATATCCATTGAAAGTCTCCCAGGTCCTGAAGTGAAGCAGTCATTATAACTCTGAGCTACCTAAACATCAGCCAAGACTTGAT